CAGGTTATTGAAAAAGAAATAGGGATGCACCAATGATATGTTAGGACCAACAAAAAAATCCAATAGCGTGCAATATTCTGCAGAAATGTTTTATCTTAAATGGTTGGTGCTTGTATGTAGAAGTTATTCCTTTCTAAACACTTTGGTTTGATTATAGACTTAAACGCCCCGGTAGATAAACCTAACTTGATTTGAACTTTGATAAATGCATTAAAAGGCCTTGTTTCACTTACTTCAAACAAACTAACTGCAGTGACTACTTTAGGCTTCTCTGTGTGCAGCTGCCTAACTAGCGTCTATCAAATCATGCATATGAGCCGTTTAGAAGACATCTTTAAATTGTATCTACAGAAAAATGACATGTTACACTCCCCACATCTAAACTGCATGAGTTCTCAACCTGCGGGAAACACTTATCCTGTATAACCAATGTCGGGCCATATACTGACAAATTATCCCTCCAAGTAAGTGGCAATGGGCTGCACAAATCCAATCATGGTATCTGCCATATCAATTACGACCCTATTTTTTAACATCTGTTTACTTTAATGCATGGTACTCTTTTATGTAAATTAAAGGCCACTGTGAAAAAATTAATATTAATGCAATAAGGTGTATTTATAAAGAAAACTACAAGGACGCACACACATTGCTAATCCAGCTTTTAAGGAGTACAAAGATATTTCCAAACGGCAAAAGCCATGAAAATGTTTACACATGTTATCTTGGGTAAACAGTTATTATCACAGTACAGTACACAAAAGCAAGCATGCAAAAACTTGCATGGTGGGACTTTCTGCAGTTGTGAGGACAACAGATGATGTAATACATTTTGTAACCCCTTACCCTAACCTTAACAATAACAACTAAATGTCTTACCCTACCTCTACTCCTAAACCTAACCCGCACACAGTAATGCTAACCTGAACGCTAAAACCAAGTCCAAACCATTTAGCAGCTTTTTTAACTTATGAGGCTGAAAATTTGTCCGCACAACCGCAGAAAGACATGCACACAACACACACACATAAACACTTAGTGCAGCCTGGGTAGCACTGCTGCTTCTGAGAGGAAGAAGGCGTTTTCCTTTCAGCTCCTGAGGGACACAGCATGTTTTAGGATGTACAGTAAGTGCTCTCTGTGTGTGTGTGTGTGTCCATCCATGGTGTGGGTGTGGGGGCTACTTCCTGAATGCAACCAAACCAATCCAGAAGAAAAAGGAATGGACCTTCACTCAGCCTCTCATTGGTAAATGCTCAGACACACACACACATTTACACACACACACATTTACACACATTTACACACACATACATTTACACACACACACACACACACACACACACACACACACA